GATCCTCTACTGCTAAAAATTCCTTTAAATATGTCCTGGTGGCGCCTGAGAAGAAAAACATGACTTACGTTTTGGCTCAATTCAAAAAAGAAATCCTAAAATTTGCTTTCATTTTTTTTGAAAGGTAATCATTTTTGGAAGGGAACAGCCTGATGAGCCATTACCTCCAGCCGTGGATGCCCTACTAAGAGTATATCAGCAAACTATTAATGATGACTCTTTAGATGTGGGATCCGATAGTGTGATTGTGAGGCGGATTCTTGCACCCAGTGAACAGGCAGCAAGCCTTATTGGCCAGCATGGTGTGATGATTAATTCAATCATGGAAGCTTCTCAAACCGACATCTGTGTCCTTGGTAACTTAATTTGATGTAACCTCTCAGCTCAGTTTTTGACAACTATTATTTGCTTCTGCTCAGTGCTTGTGTATCGATTATTGCACTGACGTAATTGGAATATGAGCAATCTGCCAGGAAGCAACAGATTTTGTGTTTTACTGAAATATAGTTAGTCCTGTTGCTGCAGAACTTTGCTCTGGTAAATCTGATGTTTGAAAAGATAAAGTATGTTTTGCTACCATCACAGTGGTCCAACTGATATTGCAAACTGGATCTTTTATGAAACATGGTTGCACTTAGAAACGCTAGGCAGAAGATGCACTTTTGAAATGTAGTGTTGCACTGTTGCTGTCGCAATTGTTAGTGACACATGTGCTCTATATGCTGTCAGATATCCGTATCTCTTAATGGTCGTGCCTACCCATTTGATTGTGACAAAAATCAATCAATCTATTAGTTACAGAACAAGCAGAGAAGTCAGTGTACATGGTCTCTTCTTGTACTGAACTGGGACTCAGCTACTTTCAAAGAGTTTTGATAAAGTATAAAACTGTGCTATAACTTTTGAGCTCCTTAATTTTCATGTACTATTTTTGTTACTTGATTTCTCGACCTATCTTGCAATAGCAACTTTAACACTGAAAATGATTGCTCATGGCAACTGGCAAGTATGAATTGATCAAATTCTCATAACACTGACTTATCTGCTTGATTTCTGGACCTATCTGTTGATTTGATGAAGCACGATTCTTACCTTATCTGTATCTAAATTGTTCCATTCACTGTTTAGATGGTGATCTGCCTCCTGTTGCACTGGAAGAAGATAGGGTTGTTGAAATATGGGGACTGCCTGCAAGAGTGCATAAGGCTTTGGAACTTGTTGCTTCTCATCTGAGAAAGTACCTGGTTGATCGAAGTGTGATCCCATTGTTTGATTGTCATGTAAGTTGTCAGCCACTATTTTGAGCATTTGTTATTCAATTTCAATGGCACACTGGAAACGGTGCACATTTGTATGCTCACCAATATGTAATTCTGAGGACTCGTTGCTTCTCAGGTACCTATGCCAATCTTGCACATGGACATGCGCCCATGTCACTACATTGACTATCCTGAGGGCCCTGTGCATCCAGTTAGTCCAGGTTATCACTCTGTATCTGCTGAAGATCTCCAACATGAACAATGGATTGACACTGTCTATTTGAGGGGTAGGCATCCTATGGGAAATCTTCGACATGCTGATACATTTGAATACAGATGGGAAGCACCTACACCTTTCAGGAGATATCGATCTGTTACACCACCAAATCATGCTATAACTGCATATGGGCCAGAAGCATCATCACCTATGGAAGCATATCTATCAGCTCCTATGGAATTACATTCACACCACAACCTTCAAAATGGTTGGCATTCATCTCCAGTTAATTCAACAGATTCTGTTGAAAGAATACGCTCCCTTATATCTGTGTATGGACAACAAGCACAGCTACAGAAACAGACATGTCAATCAGCTAAACTGGGTAAACATCCACAGTTCGGAATATCTTTACATGGAAGTGAAGCCCATCCAACTAGGGTATCTCTGAGAGATTCTACTGAACATCCTCCATCTCCCGGTATTTCTGCATGTGGACGAGAAGCATCTCCATGCTTCAGAATGCATCCACCAACTACTGTGGAAAATCTTCTAAACTGTCGTGTATCTGCTTGTGGACCAGAAGCACAACTACCACTACATCCGGCTCCAACATCATCAACTAGTCGAGCAGTTGCTTCTCAAGTCTGTATGATTTCCAAGGAGTCTTATTTATTTGCTTGACCACATGTTTTCATTGTTTTGCTAAAAAATTGATTTGTGTCTATTTGGTTGGTGGTTTGTTTGACAGGTTAAGAAAAAGATGCAAGTACCAATATTCTATGCTGAAGCTGTCATTGGCCCAGCTGGTGAAAGAATTGAATACATTCGTCGTACCAGCAGGTCGAGCATTTTGATAACCAATTCTGAGGGCGCTATGTCTATTGAGATCACTGGAAGTGCTGCAACAGATGTTCTAACTGCAGAGCAGCTGATTAAGGTATTCTAAGAAATTTTTCATACCTCTGCTGAGATAGTAATATTAATCATTTACATAGGACATTCCCAGGCTATATGATAAGCAAATACTTAAATTTCCCACCTGACTCCTCTGTGGTTACACATGTAAAACATAAAGTTTTTCTGTACTTTTTTTTTTTAAAACAAAGTATTTTCTTTGGTGGGAGGCCTATGTTCAGTGTCTAGAGTATTCAATATATTTGATTAATTGATACTTATTCGGGTAAGAATATGCCTCCGTTCAACGGATGCTGCCGGTCTTGTTCAGATACTCAATGTTAGTCTAAGCGTGCTTGCACATTCTAGTTGTTAACGTTCAAATGCACTACAATTGAGTCTTTCAATTGTAACCTGATTTTAAATTGAGATTGACCAAAGAAACAACTCAATACTTTTGTTAGTGTGAGCAGTGTACAGTGGTCAAGGTTCAAATTTACTTGTTTTTGCATTCCATCTTATCTTCTGCTGTTGTACTACTCAAAGAGATCATTTTTAATACCAAAAAGAATGTAATCCTCACTTTTTGATGAGACAAAAAGAATTAATATTTATGATGCGCAATAAGTATCATTAGATTAATCATAGAATATATTTTTATAGTAAGTCTATTCGGAGATACAAATATTGATACTATTTCTACTCCCTTTATTCTAAATTATAAGATGTTTTGGCTTTTCTAAATACATAAATATACACTATGTCTAGATACATAGTAAAAACAATGTATCTAGAAAAGCCAAAATGTCTTATAAGTTGAAATGGAGGGAGTATAAATGCACTCCCTACATCCCAAAATACTTGACCTTATAGGATTAAAATTTTATCCCAAAATATTTGACACTCACTTCCAAATACACATTTCTCTTCCCCCAACAAACCTTTTTTTTTTCCAATACATCTCTATCTCTATTTCTCTCTATCTCTCTCTTTGTTGTCTGTGCATCACACATTTTCACTATTTCTTAATGCCGGTGTCTGAACCGAAAACGTCAAATATTTTGGGACTGAGGGAGTAGTCAAACTTGAGAGAGTTTAACTTAGTCCAAACCTAGGATTACATTATCTTTGGGGCGGAGGTAGTAATTTAAGCTGATGCTTTAAATTTTGTTCTGTTTATGGTTATCAGGGTTATAGACATTGCCTTTTCACACTCTTGATCATTGTTTCCTTTTCTAGAACTTTATGGCCGAAGCAGCTGCCGCCTCCCCTGGTCACAGTTTCGACTTCATTCCATCATATTTGCCAGCACCCAGATCTGCCCAAGCTGATGTTCTTGCTTCCCCTGGGACAAGCGAAGTGTCCAGTTTGCCAGAACGACGCCTGCAAATGATTTACTGAATATCCCCAACAGTTTTATTTCTGCACATACCACCAAAGATAGCCAAGCACCAATACCGGCAACACAGGAATATACCAGAGACAGTAAATTCAGAAGATGTTTTGATATTCATCCTGAGACTATCTAGCTTTACAATTTCAACCCTAAGGATTTCATCTGGATTACTTTTAGACCCTTTTTTTTGTTGTAGCCTTGATTCATTCCATGGGTTGAACGTTCGAAACTAGAGAGCCTGAGCATATGCTATATATGGAAGTAAAGTTTTGGTCGATTCTGCGAAGATGGGGTAGCATGATATGTGTGCCCAGATGATTGCACGGTTGCGCTTCGCTGAAACAAATTCGTACTAATCTTTGCTCCATGAGATACCTATTGTTTGTTGTCTCTGTTAGCTGCTCTAGTGTCCCCCTATCTGTTAGTATTAATATTTGCTGGTTTACTGGGTCTGGGTGCTGCACAAAGGCACCTCCTCGAGAAAATCAGAGGCTCCACATGTGTGTTTTTATTTTTTCTGATTCTGATTTGATATGATGGGAAAGAAAACCTTTTGGTCCCGGATGTGTGAGGCTGCGCTGAAACCTCTCGCCTGACGCTGTTGGGCATGCAGGCATTAGAGAGGGAAAACGCCACGTTTGGGGGCTCCGCTGCAAGGCAGACAGACGCATTCGGCTCCTCGTTTCTCTCTCTTCTCTTCGTTCCCGCGCGGAGAGGGAGAGAGAGAAACAGGGGAGCGGCCACCTCCTCTTCCCTGCCAAGAACCACGATTTCTTACGGGTTTGTACCCAATTTTCTTTAGGATTTCCGATTCGATTCTCCGGCGAGGTTCTCCATAGGGTATGCATCATAATCCGTCAGGATGTGATCTATGTTCTGGAATGTGGAATGTTTTTTGTGAAAGTTTTGATTTTCCTTTTTATCATCAATGCTGCAAAGAGGAAACTTGACCACCGTGGAATGCCACATAATAACGTTGCTGCAGCCTTTTTGCAGGGAAATTTTTTACTTCTGCTGCAACCGGTGCAAAATTTCGAATTCCTCCATTCCACCTCTCTGTGCAATCAGCCATTCATATATTGATTCTGGCATTCGTTCGGCCTTCTCAAGGAAGCTCCTTATATCATATATAAAGATCAAACTTCCTTGGGCTGCATTGAGGCATTATTGGTGTGATTCATTCAGAAAGCGCTGTCAGCTGTAGGCGAATTTTGATGTAAACTGACCAGACATGGCTGCGAAAGATGGCCCGGGATCACAAGACTTGGGGCACAGGTTCTGGCCCATGCTGTCCTACGCTTGCGGCGAGCTATGTGTGATCATACTGCTCTACGTGGCTGCCTTGGCATCCTATGCAGCCACAAGGTTGGTGCGCATCTGCGGGCTCCGGCCGCCCTGCATCATGTGCACGAGGCTGGACCGTGCCCTCCATGGAAAGCCATGGTTCTCCGGGGACTTGGTTTGTGCCGTGCATCGCTCTGAGATCTCATCTCTGGCTCACTGCAAGAGCCATGACCAGCTTGCACGCTCTGGTGATCTCTGCAAAGCATGCCTACTTTCATGCAAAGCGGTAGGTGTCGGTGTGGAGGTGAACTCTCGGTCTGCATCCAGCAGGTCAACAAGGTTGTGTTCTTGTTGCTCGGATCCATTCAAGAATGCTCGCAGCGCGCAGAAGCATTCTGAAGCAGCCAATGCTGTCGAGTCTTGGGATAGTGTACCTGCAGATCATCCAAATGAGAAGAGTATGTGTAGCTATCTATACTGCTGTACTCTAGAGTTATTAGTATATATAACAGCATATATATTTTGATCTTCTGACTAACTGCACGCATATTTGTTGATGTAGCTTTTGTGGTGGGTATTGAGGAAGTCCATGAATCAGATGGCTCACCAGGCTCACATGGACAATCTAGAAAGGACAGCGCCCCTTCTGCGAATGTTGGGACAGCAAAGAGCAACTATAGATCGGCCGCACCAACACGCATTGCTGTGGACCGCAACGGCAGCGTGAAAAATGCTTCCGTTCCTAGGGTCAACTTGACATCTCCTCGGCCATCAGAAATTATCTCTGCTAGGGACAGCAACTCAACAACCCAGCAAGAAGTGAAGGCACTCCTTTCTCAGATATCTTCTGTACGGGGCCTCGATAGTTCTTCCAGTGAAGGATCTCCCAGCCCTGGTATCAATGCTCTGAATGAAGAAAGCAACCCTACGAGCAAGAGGCCATATCTCGAGAGGAACTATTCTGTGCTGGAACCTTCAGACGGGAGCCTCACCGACGATGTTGAAGGGGAGAGTTCTCTCGAGAACGTAAAGAAACAGCTTGAGCTCAACAAGAAGTCAATGGCTGCTCTTTACAAAGAGCTTGAGGAAGAAAGGAGCGCTTCGGCAGTCGCAGCTAGCCAGACGATGGCCATGATCAATAGATTGCAGGAGGAGAAGGCTGCAATGCAGATGGAAGCACTGCAGTACCTGAGGATGATGGAACAGCAGGCGGACCACGACCATCTAGCAATACAGGATCTACATGATTTACTTACAGAGAGGGAGAAAGAATTGCTTGACTTGGACGCTGAACTTGCACACTGCAGGAGGCTCCTGCAGAACGATCCATTCAATGGTGACGGACTTAATGGAACTGATACAATGAACAACACAGATTTTGTGGGGAGAGCCATGTCGCATTTTGAAGACGATAAGGCATACATTTTGGAATCCTTGAGCAGATTGGAGGAAAATCTTGGCATTTCCACGAACAGACTTGCTTCTGGTGACGCCAGAAATAGTCAAGAAGACATACTGTTTGAAGATCATACAAGAGCTGATGGATCTCCTTCCAACAGTGACAAGTTGAGTGGTGTAGCAAGTCTTAAGATTGAAATTTCTCTGTTGAATATAAGACTGAGGGCACTTGAAGAGGATCAGGAGTTTCTCAAGCAGGTATTGAGTTCCCTCCGATGTGGTAGTGATGGACTGCAGTGTATACAGGAGATAACCAGCCATTTAGCAGAGTTGCGAAGAGTTGTGACTCATTAAGGAAAATGGTTTTGCCCCGAGTTCACACTATTTGGCCATCCTGATGTAAGAACTATTCTAGTCATCTTTTAATTGCAGGGGGGGACATGTTCTGAAAAGCAAAGATATTTTATAGCATTGCTTATATTATGCAAACATCATAACAAATGAGAACCTGAAACCTTCATTAGCCATGATGCATGAAAACCTTAAAATGCTCATCACGGAAACCTTATGCTTATTATGTGCTGAAACTCAAACCCACCTGCATCTTCCCTAAAAATGACAAATATAGCTGTTTCACCATATTGAGGTTTCAGAAGTTGCCCGGATTAACAACTGCCTACTTTATTGCCTAGATTATATATACTTTCTTGATATTTTCCCAACACAGTAGAAACCTATTGATTTGTCATTTCAATTTTCTTTGAAGCAAAATTTTTGCTGTGGATACTAGTGTTTACAGTTCCTAAATATCCAATGCCTTTACAGGTCTCCTCATGCAGATATATGCAGGCTAAAGAGAGCGCTTCCAGTGAGTGCCCACAATGCCATCTATCTTATCGTACAAACATGAAGATGGATGCCATTGCAGGAATACCATGCTCTTCACTTCTGATCGGACTCGATAGAAGACCAAAATTTTCCATCTCTTGCACTTGAGTTTCTCGTCGACATTTGCAGATTACTGAAACAGATGGAACTGTAAAAAGAATTACTGAAAGAGATGAAACATCTCGTGTATGTGATATGGTGGTTGTTGAAATTAGGAGCAAAGCCTGTAACTGTAGATGTAACCAACCTTGATGGTTCCTGCCAAGAGGAGTTAAATTGTACATGATATATGCAGTTCATGTAAAGTCAGTGAATATCCCGTATTCTGGAATGCAAGGTGTCATGACTATCCAATTTCCTTTCTCCAACCTGCCAATTTTCCATTGGCTGGCGTTGATGTAGCTCAACATTCCTTGTGGACTGAACATCACCTTCACTCACATGAAACATATTAGTCCACTAATGTTCTCACTCAATTAACAAAACCCAAATGGGGTCCAGATGTTTTCAGCTTTGCCCCTAGACAGCTAGACGTTTCCGTGAAGCTCCCAACTCGTGCGTGAAGCTCCAAATGGTTTGTATTACCAGTGGATATTTTGAGCTTGACCTATGAGGTCACTCGAGAAGAAGATTGGAGTTGAAAGAGACATTAGACCTTATGGTCACCTCAACAACGGGGACATAGGCATGCATTTGGTGGTGTGGTCGAACCTCGGGTTAAATTGTTGTGTCTTGCATATGGGCCATGCTACAACTAGCCATCCATCTAGGCAATGTCCACAGCAAGCCACTACCATGCCGACCAAGCCATAGTTGTCAATGCAGCGGTGGCCTCCAAAGACCGCCTCTAGCCTACCATTCTACCATATTGAGCACCTACCAACACCACACGGTGTCAACCCGCAAGCTTCTAATCATTGCTATTAGTGAAGCCACCACTAGATGGTGGCACGGCGTCACGTCCTCGTTGGTGCAGTCTGGTCTGCAGCACCCGTTCAGGAACTTGGAGCATGTCGTCGGGGTCCGGCAGTGCCGCGTCGATCGCCGGAGCTGATGGCGGTGCGGGCTTGAGCAGCGACACGTGGAAGACCGGGTGTACGGTGCTTGATGGAGGAAGCTCCAGCTTGTACGCCACAACTCCGATCTTGGAGATGATCTTGAAGGGCCCGAAGTATTTGAAGCAGAGCTTGTGGTGGGAGCAAGGGGCCAGCGAAGACTGCACGTACGGTTGGAGGCGGAGGTAGACGGAGTAGCCGATCTCAAACGAGCATTCCGAGCGACGCTTGTCCGCCTGGGCCTTCATCCGCTGCTGCGCACGGAGGAGGTGCTGACGGACAGCTGCAACCATTGTTGAGCGCTCCGCTAGCATTGTAGCCACGTCGGGAACAGGGGAAACAGAGTCATTAGTAATGCCAAAATGACACGGAGAACGCCCATAGAGTACCTCGAACGGGGACCTGCCGAGTGCTGAGTGCGCACTGGTGTTGTAACAGAACTCGGCAAGAGAAAACCAACGAATCCACCGACGCGGGCAAGAGTGAACGAAGCACCGTAGGTATGTCTCCAGGCACTGGTTGACGAGTTCCGTCTGGCCGTCAGATTGAGGGTGATAAGCCGAGCTCATAGATAGAGTCACCTGGGCAAGACGGAACAGCTCGCGCCAAAACAGACTCGTGAATATTGGATCCCGGTCGGAGATGATTTGAGTTATTATGCCGTGGAGCCGGAACACATTGTCCAGAAATGCCTGTGCAACCTTTTGAGCAGTAAACGGATGATGGAGTGGAACGAAGTGTGTGAACTTACTGAGCTTATCCACGACCACCATGATACAGTTGGAAGTAGCCGAGGTGGGCAACCCGTCAATGAAATCCATGCTCGCTACCTGCCAAGCTTCAGTAGGAACGGCCAGGGGCGCTAGGAGGCCCGGGTATTTTGCTCGATCCGTTTTTGCCTGAATACAGACAATACAAGCGGCAACAAATTCCTTAATGGCATGCTTCATACCCCGCCAATAGAACAACTTCTTCACTCTGCTGTATGTTACTGGAAAACCGGAGTGCCCACCGAGTGCACTATCATGGAGAGCTGAGATGATGCGCTGTTGCAGCTGGACATTGGAGCCCACCCAAATACGACCGGAGTAGCGAATAACACCACTGATCAAGCTGAATGGGGGTCGGGACTTAGGATCGACGGCCAGTTCCTGAAGTAGTTGCCTGGACTCTGGGTCTTCCGTATAACCAGCAACCAGTTCTGCAAGCCACGCAGGAGTGGAAACAGAAATTGCTTGTAGCTGAGCCGGAGGACTTGGGTGCCTAGAAAGAGCGTCAGCAGCCGAATTGGATACTCCTGCTTTGTAAATTACTTTGTACTGCAAGCCAGCCAGCTTATGATGCATTTTGAGTTGCCACTGAGTATGCAGGCGCTGGTCAGTGATATGCATAAGGCTGCGTTGGTCTGTGAAAATAGTGAGCTCGGCATGCTGTAAGTAGGAGCGCCACTGCTCGACTGCCACCAAGATTGCAAGAAACTCCTTTTCGTAAGTGGAGTGCACTAGTACGAGGGTCCAAGGACTTACTGACGAAGGCGAGGGGATGCCCATCTTGTAAGAGAACTGCTCCAACTCCAGATTCGCTGGCATCAGTTTGAAGTTGGAATGGCTTTGAAAAATCCGGGAGGGCGAGGACCGGGGCAGAGACCAGAGCAGTCTTGAGCGCCTCAAAAGCAGAAGTATGAGCCGTAGTCCAAACAAACAAGGCATACTTCTTGAGAAGATCGGTTAGTGGCCGAGCTATGATTGCGTAATTGTGCACAAATTTGCGGTAATACCCAGCAAGGCCCAAGAAGCTGCGAAGTTCCTGGACATCTTTTGGTTGCGGCCATTGTTGGACTGACTGGATCTTCTCGGGATCAGTAGAGACACCGCTGTTACCAACAATATGTCCCAGGTATGAGATAGACTGTTTGGCGAACTGGCACTTGCTGAACTTTACCTTCCACTGATCAGCAGCCAAGAGCTGGAACACCTGACGCAAGTGGGCGACGTGAGCTTCAAGCGTCGGATTATAGATCAGAATGTCATCGAAGAACACCAGCACGCATTTGCGCAAGAGAGGGTGCAAGGTGGAGTTCATTGGGCCCTGAAAGGTGTTAGGTGCGCCTGTGAGGCCGAAGGACGTCACAGCGAACTCAAACTGTCCCCAATGAGTCTGGAAGGCGGTTTTGTGCTCCTCACCTGGGGTTAACCGGATCTGGTTGAAGCCGGCCTTGAGATCCAAATAGGTGAACCATTTTGCATGCGACAGCTCATCCAATAACTCATCGACAACGGGTATTGGGAACTTGGTCTTGACAGTCAGAGAGTTCAGCATCCTGTAATCCACACAGAAACGCCAAGAGATGTCTTTCTTTCGGACCAGAAGGACAGGAGAAGAGAACGAACTTGTGCTCGGCTATAAGTCCGGACTGCAGCATCTCGGTAACCTGCTTCTCAATCTCGTCCTTAAGAGCTGGCTTATATCGGTACTAGCGAACCGCCACAGGAGGAGCCCCTGGCACAAGATGATAGCCCGGCGAGGAGCTCTGGCGACGTCGCCGCACCGGCCGGTGTTGACCGCGGCGACTAAGACCCTAAGTGGCGGCGCGAGCTTGCAAACACACGAGAGAGAGAGAGAGAGCACAAAACTCGGCGAGTTGGTTCATTGCGTATGGCGCAGCTTTACCCGATGCATTTCATTGATCTTATGTATGGCTCGATCCGACTTCCCCGCCACAGTTTGTTGCTGCGTGGTACGCCGTCTTTTGCGAACGTCCACGCGACAAGCACGGCGAACAACCTGTGGCGGAGTGAGCCTCCTGGACGCGGTCACGACGCAGTGGTGTGCAAGTCTCCACCCCTGCCCGCGATTCTACGCTTGTACAAAACATGTTCATGCATCTAAGTAACAAAGTAATGCACCTAATGAATGGATACAACTTTGACACGATTACTGAAGGCCGAGCTCCAACAATTCACCCCCTTAATCGTGACAAACACTGACAACACCCAACCTCTGACGCATCTCGATGAACTTGACTCTTCCCAATGGCTTCGTCAGAACATCTGCTAATTGTCTGTCAGTGCTGACGTGTTGAACTTCAGCAATTCCATCGCTAACACACTCTCTGATATAATGATATCGTGTGTCGATGTGCTTACTTCTCTCATGGTAAACTGGGTTTTTGCTTAACTCAAGTGCAGACTTACTATCCATCAAGAGTTTGAACTTCTAAACTTGTTCACCTGTCAGATCAGCTATGAGCCTGGACAGCCAAACACCCTGACAAGCTGCTGATGCTGCTGCTATGTATTCGGCTTCACAACTTGACAGTGATACTACCCTTTGCTTTTGTGATGACCAAGTCACCACATTGTCATTCAGGAAGAATAGGATCCCTGTAGTGCTTTTCCTCTTCTCAAGATC